GACCAGGATGGTCTCGATCTCTTGACCTCGTGATCCACCCGCCTCGGCCTCCCAAAGTGCTGGGATTACAGGCTTGAGCCACCGCGCCCAGCCTATAAGAATTAGGCTAGTCTTACACACTGGAGGAGCCACGCTCCCTGTGCCGGCCGTTGTAGGGGACAGGAGACGTTTCCCCTGGGCCCTTGTGTTGGAGGCAGGAGTCTGGTTAGGGAGCAGATGGGAATGGGGGGATTGGGAGTGCTGAATGCAGATGACTCCAGAATTTTGTTGCGAAGAGGAGAGAACAAAGGATGCTTTAAAAAAAAAGATGAGAGAGGATCGAGCAGTTTAAAATCTGCGGTCAGTAGTGATGGCGACGTTGCCATGAAGACAGAAGGGTCGTCTGTGGAATGATGCCCATGGGAAGGGGAGGGGCTGGGTCCAGGGTATGAAGTGGGGCAGGGGCTGAGCCTTAGAACAGAGGAGCGATGCTCCCTTCAGGTGCTGGGAGGGAGAGGGGAAATGGCTGCAGGTGTGGAAGCCGGATAGAGAGGGATCCCTGACCAGTCAGAGATGCCTCGAATATGTTCTGAATATAGGAATAAGAAACGCATGTAATTACTACCATCATTAATAGCAAAGTGTTCCTGGTGAATCAGGTGGTCACTTCTCCCTAGCAACCTGGATTCCTAGAACTAGCACGAGCCAAGGGAGGAACACGGTCCTGAGGGCACTTTATTCTGCAGGAGATAAGGCGCTGTCTTCACCCGGGGTTGGACTCGGGAGCGCAGAAGGATTAAAGCACCCGATGCCTGAGCTGGGTAGCTTTGTTTCTTGTCTTCTTTCTGGCAGCCTTCAGTTTCCACCCAAGGGAGACTGGGCAGCAGGTTGGGGTGGGCTGTGGAGTGGACAGAGGAGAGGACAGGACAGAGGAGCTAACTGTCAGCTGGAACAGCCAGGCAGGCACCTGGGCCTTTTGGCACCAGCAGTCCTTCCCATCTCACTGGCTCCCTCTGTCTCACTGTATCAGGGCATAGGAAGACCATGCCGATGGGGTCCCAGGGAAATGAGCATGATGCTGTGTGCGTTTAGCTGCACGCTGCTGCGTGGTTTCCAAGGCCTCTTGACTGGGAGTGTCTGATGCAGATGGCTTCTCTGGTTCTAAATCTTATTTTTTGAGACAAAGTCTCACTGTCACCTAGGCTAGAGTGCAGTGACATGATCACAGCTCACTGCAGCCTCCACCTCCTGGGCTCAGATGATTCTCCCACCTCAGCTTCCCATGTAGCTGGGACCACTGGAGCCTGCCTCCATGCCTGGCTTTGTTTTCTTTTTCTTTTCTTTCTTTTCTTTTTCTTTTTCTTTTTTTAAGTAGAGATGAGGTCTTACTATGTTGCCCAGACTGACCTTGAACTCTGGATCTCAAACAATACTGTGTCTCGGCCTACCAAAGTGCTGGGATGATAGGTGTGAACCACTGCGCCTGACCTTGAGCTTTTTAAATTTATTTGTTTATTTTAAATGAGACAAAGTCTTACTCTGTCACCCAGGCTGGAGTACAGTGGCAAGATCATAGCTCACTGCAGCCTCAAATTTCTGGGCTCAAGTGACCCTCCTGCCTCAGCCTCCGGAGAAGCTAGGAATACAGGCACATGCCACCACACCTGGTTAACTTATTTTTTGTAGACACGGGGTCTTGCTATATTGCCCAGGCTGTTCTTGAGCTTCTGGCTTCAAGCAGTCCTCCCACCTTGGCGTCCAAAAGTGTTGGGATTATAGGCATAAGCCACTGCATCCCTCCTGGTTCTAAGTCTTGAGATGGTTTATTCATTTATTCAACAACCGTCTGTTGAGCACCTACTGTGTGCCTCAGAAGGTAACAGCACTGTAGGAGCCGTGTTCCCTGTGCTGGCCAGCAGGCAGGTCAGGAGACCTTTTCCCTGGGCCCTGCATAGAAAACTTTTTCCTTCCATAGAAGACTGCATCTTTTCTCCCTAGGGGAATTTCACCTTCTCCTGGGTCTTGGGAGCCCAGAGGAGTTTCTGCTCAGGGCTCACCACGGGGAGCCAGGAGGCCTTTGGGCGGTGGTCTTGTGAGTGGCGGGGTCTACCTGAGAGTTAAGCATCCATGGCCTGTTGAGTGATCTCCCTGAGGGAGGCTTCGAGTCCCTCCTCGCTGTTCCTTGATAACACGTAATAAGCTGGCGCAGGCCTGGGGCTGCAGGGAGGGCAAGATCGCTGAGAGGAGCGATGTGTGTGGGCTTGGATTTTCCTTCTGATTCTCAGCCTCTTCTTGGCCCCTGGTGGGTGTGATTCATCATGGGGCTCTGCTCCACCTTCTCCCACCCCCTGGGACTTAGCTCTCGGTATGCAGTCCAGGCGCACAACTTGTGTGAAGAGCGGCAGTGGGGAGGATGGAGAATGGGCTGGGGCAGGAATGTGACTGCAAGGCGTGGCTGCTGAGTTCCTAGAGTCTGAACTGCCGAGGATCTGCTGATCATTTGGGCCCACCCCTACCATCTAGCAGGGAAGCTGAGGCATAGATGGGTGAGATGGCCTCCCAGGGCACACAGCAAGCTCATGGCAGGGCCCAGGCTATGTCCCAGGGCCCCGACTCCTTATCCTGGTCCCTTTTCACTGCCTCGGGGGCGATCCCACGGCCTGGGCCCGTTTTCCTCCACCAGTATTTACACAGGGGCTGTCATTGTTGGCTGTAGGGGGGCTTTGAGACCAGGTTTCTTGCTTTCCCCAAAGGTGACACTGAAATTTAGAGGCCTTTGGTTTGAAGGTGAAGAGCAAAGGCTTCTTTTGTTCTCAGAACCTAACATTCTGGCTCTGGTTTCGGTGGCTCAGGCCTCGGGAGTTCTCATTGGTGAATTCTGCAGCAGGAATAGGCTGCACGAGTTGACTTAAAGAGGCTAAGCCCCTCCAAACCAGTTCTGGAAGAGGCTGTGCCCCCCCACCCCCACCCCATTACTCAGTCATACTGGCCTAGCTATACCTAGGCCTGTGACTGCGCTAGGTGAAGTCTAGGGAAGGACAGGTCCCCTCCAACCCCCCTTCCCATGGGGGACCATCTGGCAGGCAGAAGACTGATCTTGGGAAAGGGGAAGCAGCAGTGTTTATGCAGGAATGATTTTGTTCCAATAACACTGTGCATTTTGGGAGACAGTATCCACAGCAGTGAAGCACTTGGGCTTTGGAGCCACTGCCTGGGTGTGAAACCTGGCTCTATTGCTTGTTAGCTGTGTGACCTTGTTCAAGTTACCTAACGTCTCTGTGTCCCTTGTTCCTCCTTATCAGTCAAACTGGGAGAAAAACCATGCCTACCTTATAGAGTAGTTAAGAAGATGAAATGAGCTATATCTAAAGCACTTTCAGTGCTGGCACCAAAAAAATACAGTATAATATTTTTTTTATTATAAAAGTGATTTCCTAAGTTCCTATATTGTTTGGCCTCAATAAACAGCAATGGCTGGTAACCCCACCTCAAGAAGTCTCTTGAGAGAGTCATTAGTGAAGTGGCAGTGGATGGAGTGGCGGCCGCTGAGATCATCCAGGCTGGTGAGGGGCCCCAAAGGCCCCCACGGAGAAGATGGGATCAGATACAGGCCATAAAGATTGCATCTCGGCTGGGCTCAGTGGCTCACACCTGTAATCCCAGCACTTTGGGAGGCTGAGGTGCATGGATTGCTTAAGGTCAGGAGTTCGAGACCAGCCTGGCCAACATGGTGAAACCCTGTCTCTACTAAAAATACAAAAGTTAGCCAGGCATGCACCTGTAATTCCAGCTACTTAGAAGGCTGACGTGGGAGGATCACTTGAACCTGGGAGATGGAGGTTGCAGTGAGCCAGGATCATGCCACTGCACTCCAGCTTGGGTGACAGAGTGTGACTTTTTTTTTTTTTTGAGACAGAGTCTTGTTTGGATTAGGCTGTTAGCAGATTCCACCCGGGCACCTGCTGTGTGTCCTGGGTGTTGCAGGGCATGAGGGATGCTCTTAGGAGGCGGTGGAAAGGTAGAGGCTATTCCTCATGGAGGCAGTTTGCCCCCTTCCTGTCCTCTGGGGCTGTCCCCTTTCCTGAGTGTCTGCCGGGAGTAACTGGCAGCCTCCTTGCTCAGTGAGCCTGCATGGGGCTAATTGAGTCTCCAGTTCCAGCCTCTGGGTGACACGTGCAGGGGGTTGCAAAGCCCCTGTTCCAGATACATGATATCTTGCTGCAGGTAGCCCTGAAGAGGCTGCCCCACTGTGCTCCCCCTTAGGCAGAGGGTGCCTGCCTGGGCACCTGGCCCTGCCTGGATGGGAAATGAGTGTGTGAGGCTGTGGGTCATCACCTGTGCCCTGCTTCTCACTATACACACATGCGCGCGCACAGGATGAGTGATGAGCCATCAATTTCCCCTCACCGATAACGTCTGAAGAGGCTATTTCCTTTCCTGCTGAAGTCTTAGCAGAGGAAGGTGGGATTCCTGACACGGTGGTCGGGTCTTCAGGGCAGCCCTGGGCCATCCATCTCCTGTCACTCACTTGCTTTCCCCTTCCTGAGCCCCCAGGGCACCCCAAAGCCTCGAGGAAAGGTCCAAGGAGCCTGCAGGTGGTGGGTGGGGAGGACAGGGCGACCTGCAGGAGAGGGACCATACAGATGGAAGCTGGGGATCGGGCCACCCACTGAGCGGACCTTCAGCCCCTTGGCAAGATTTTCCTGGCAACACGATGGGAGGCAAAGAGGAAATTCTGCCCTTCTCGGTGACCTGGGTAGAGCTGGCGTGGGGTGACAGGAAAGGATGCTGGTGGGAGGGCCAGAACACCAGTATCTAGCTCTGGCCCTTCCAGGAGTAGCCGTGTGATCTCAGGCAGGTTTCTTCACCTCTTGAGCCTTCTCAGAGCCTCTCTTGTGAAATGGGAATGATTGTGGAGAGCCCTTTGGCTTCGAATCCTGCGATTGATACATGGCCTTACATGGGTCAGCATTGCTCCACTTCCCCCAGACACACCTGGAAGTCCTTCCAAGTGGGGTGGCCGTGCAGGGTGGTCACGAGAGAGAAGCGTCAGGTAGTTCTCAGCTGCTGTCAGAGAGCTTCTCTAGGTGGGGAGACAGACCTGCCGGGATAAAATGCTAAACCTTTCGTTCCTAACGTGCCCTGGTCTTGAGCTCTTCACTATGGGAAGGGTGCCCTGTCTCTTATACCCTGGGTGGCGTGAGCCTTGGTAGAGAGCTTTCCTCGGGCAGAGTTGCTAAGTGCCGCAGCTGTCTGGACTGGAGGAGCCTGTGTCTGATGCCAGTTCTCTCTTACAGGTGAGGAGTTTTACGAAGCCTCCCCCTACGAGCCGGTAACCTCCCGCCTCTCCGACATCTTCAGGCTTGCTTCAATGTTCTCAGGTAAGTGAGCTCTTGCTGGAACTTGACCAGTTCTCCTCTCTTCCCTGTGGCGTGGCAGATGGAGCTCTGGGCTCGGACTGACGCGTCCTGGTGTCCGATGATGGCCCTGCTCCCCATCAGCTCATCCCTTAACGTTTCTGAGCCTCGTTAGTCCTCTGTAAGGAACTCAATGGTCACCTCCTTGGCTGCTTGTATGGAGAAGCTTTGATGGAAATTGCCTGGCCGGGTGGCCCTCATGGAGTAGGGCTTGAATCTGGAGCCTGGTGTCACCCTCCTATCTGATCGTTGTTCCATCTTTCCAGTTCCCTGGCTCTTCTCTTTGGAGCTCTTCCACTTGGTCTCGTTGCTTAACCTCTCTGGACCTCAGTTTCCTCAGTTGTGATGGGAGAGTACTGTACCTACCTTACTGGATTGCCATGAGGTCTAAGTGGGTCGGTGGCTGGTAAAGTGCTCAGTATGCCGCATGGGTCAGCATGAGCTGTGGCTTGGTATTATTGGTCCTGCGACAATCTGTTCTTCCCTGGGTTTTCCCTCTCTCTTGAGGGCTCTGCTTCTTGAACTACATGAAGGGAGGTGTCTGCAGGAACCACTCTGGTCAGGCCACCCCCTGTGCCATCCACCCTGGAGAGTGAGACGGTCCGAATTGGGCTCTTGCTTTGTCTACCAGGCTCCACATGTAGGAGCCAGGTGAGCTCTGGGGGTTCTTTCTTCTTGACTTTGTTCTCTCTGACATTTGGGAGTCCCTGGGCCCAGTGCAGCACACCCTGCCTGGGTGCTGGGGAGGGATTCCAGTCTTGGGAGTGCTCTGTGGAGGTAGGGGGTGAGCTCGTCTAGGGGACTGATGGAAACGGATGCTCCACGGGGTGGCCAGGGTCGGGCTTGTTCTCAGGTGTCTTTGAGCACAGAAATCTGGTTGATAGTTTTGTGGTAATCTTTGAAATCTTCTGGAGTTTCTGGCTTCAAAGCAGGGTTTCCGGCAGGAGCACTGCTGACATTTTGGCCTGGGTAATTCTTTCTTGTGGGAGGAGCCATCCTGTGAGTCTGAGGATGGTCAGCAACATCCCTGGCCCCACTGGATGCCAGCAGCGCTCTTGCAAGCTGTGACAACAAAGATGTCTCCAGACAGGGCCAGATGTCCCCTGGGGGGCACAGTCACTGCCAGCTGAGAGGCACTGCTGTGAGCTGTGAGCTGAAAGCATTTCCAGTGAGACCCGAAGCCCTTTCAAATCAGGAGTTCTCTAGGGCCATGCTTTTCTACCATTCTCTTTTTTTATTATTGTTTTCCAAGGAGAAAAAATAATTCTTCCTAACCAGAGAAATTAAATACCAAGGAATAAAATTTTGTCTCGAAGATTTGGGTTTTGGAGCACGTAAACCGTTGCAGGATCTCCTTTTTCCTTTTTTTCTTTTTTGCCCACCCAATAACCAGCTTTTGCTCCCTTGTGGTGACATCCTTCCCTCCCATGGACAAAGCACGCTCCAGGAGATTGAAACGGGAATGATGATACACGTGTCCCTGGTGAGAGCAACCTTGGATGCCCAGTAAGGGAGGCAGTAGTGGCCAGGGGGTGGCTGTTTGGGCATGGCCTTGGGTGCCGGCAGTGATTAGGGCAGTGGTGAATGGAGTGGTGACCTCAAAGGCAGCTGTGTTGAGCACCTTACTCTGGGCACTCAGCATCATAGTCCCCAGTGGGGTCACTGCAGAGGTTCTGGGCTCAGAGCAGCTCCCAGGCTGGCCCTGCCTGTGGTCACCATGGCAGCTCTATGGTAAGTCCTGCCCAAGGGCTGGACTGGATGGGGCTGCCTGAGTCCTTCCTGCACAGGCATTCTGATTCGCACATTTCCTGATGGGTTTTGCATAGAAATCCACTTTGGACTATTTCTTCTGAGACAGTGCTCTGGGGCTCAAGCAGGTTGAGAATGCCGTTGGCCTGTGGTTGCTATGGTGAGCACGGTGGCCCTCAGACGTACCCATGTCCTCCTCTGTGTGACGCTCAGGTACTGGCAGATTACTGCTGTGTGGAAGGTGACACTGGGCTTCCCTCCAGTAATAAATAGCTTTGACTTGCTCCTGGATGTTGAAGTGCAGAGATCCTCATCTTAGCCCAAACCCCTGCTGTTTCCTGGACTCACACTTAAGTATCTTCCTCGCAGAAAATCTTTACGTAATGGACTTGACACTCTGTGGGACAGGATGTTGACAAGACAAATGAGGAAATTACTAGGTCTGCAACTCACTGAATCAGCCCCCTTCTACCTGCTGCACAGAGATAACTGGGCCGCATGCAACTCTGGGTTTCTGTGCTCCAGGGACCACTTCCCACCATGAGGGCTGGGCTTTGGGGACTGTGCTGGTCCCTCCTCATCGCCCCTGTTGACTCTGCTCTACCCAGAGAAGCTTTAAGGTTAGGTAGGCAGGCAGCTCTGTCTGGGGAGACTGGGGCACATAGTTGAGTGGGGAGGCCCTGGCCTTGCTACCAAGAAACCAAGCTGGGGCTGGGCACAGTGGCTCATGCCTGCACATTTCAGCACTTTTGGAGGCTGAAGTGGAAGGATTGCTTGTGCCCAGAAGTTTGAGGCTGCAATGAGCCATGATCACACCACTGCAGTCCAGCCTGGGTGACACAGTGAGACCCTGTCTCAAAAAACCCTCCCAAAACAACAACAACAAAAAGAAACCAAGCTGTCCATGGTGAGGAGCTCAGCATAAAGATGGCGAAAATGGGAGCCAGGAGGTAGTTCCCGTGCAGTCCCCACCACAGATCACCTGTAGGGCCTTGGGCAGGTTCATTTCATGCTCTAGATCTTGGGTCTGAACAACGAGGACATGAGCTTGGAGCAGTGCTGCCCAACCTTTGTCTCATCAAGGTACACAGAAAACGGTGATGTGGCAGGGTGAGCAGCCCAGCTTAGTGCTCAGGCCATCGCAAGCCTCCTGCTTGTCAATATCCAGGCACGTGTATCCCCCACCTATGTGTGGCACACCGACTGCAAAGTCTTGTGGTGAACAGCCCAAGATCCCACACTAGAGCTTTGGGATTAAAAGGCTGCCACCCAGTAGGATTGCATGAATTCTGGTGGGAAGCCCCTCCCCATTGCCTCCTGTCTGCTGCTGCATGCTACCTGTCCACTTCTCATGTGGAAAATCTGTGGGTTAGGGAGGGAGGCATGGAGTCTTGGCGGCCGCCTCTGGGCTGTACTCCCTGCAGTTGGAGCACCAGGGAGGGTGCTCTGGTGTCTTCAGGACTCCGTTGCCACTATCTGTTTACCGGCGCCTGTCTGAGAATTCAGGGCCCTATGGGGCCTCTTGGAACGTGTATTCTTCTTCATCTGTTTCTCGGTTGGGGTTCTCGGAAAGTCTTACTGGGATTCTGTTGCAAAGAAAGCTACCAGGATTCCTGCAACACCCTCTGATGTCCAGAAGCCCTGGGGAAGGGCAGTTTCTTCCTGGCTCTCTGCCCAGTGCTGCCTAACAGGACCTGGGCTCAGCAGTGGGTCAGCGAGTCCTCAGTCCAGGGCCAGTTGGGGAGCAGTGTGGCTGCATCCTGAACCACAGCGATATGATGTTGGATGCGTCTGCATGTCCTGCCCTCCCCTTCTGTGTGGGAAGAGAGATTTCATGGAGAAGAAGTGAGTTTTGTCCTGTTTCTAGCAATTCAAACTGCCCTTGAAAGCATGAGACATTATTTAGGGAGGTGCCTGGAAGAGCGCTGGCCTTGAGCTAGACAGTCCTGGGTTCGAATCCCAGGACTGTCCCTCGGCTTTTTAGGGGTGAGTGATCTTGGGCCTCACTGTGACCTTCTTGAGCTGTGGGGCCTACGTGTGTAAGATGGGCCTGTGACATCCTAAGAGGCTTCGGTGGGAATGGATGTTGGCAGAGTGCCCGTGGTGCATCAGGACCAGAGCCAAGCTTGACACAGTCGGTCATCCTCTGCCTACCTGGGGTGCTTGGTGGAGGCAGAGGGTTTAGGTGGATGAGGGGCTGAAGTTGAATGTCCTTCTCATCCCCACGCTCCATGACCCTGTGAATGCTGAATCCCAGCCGGTTTCACCTGGGAGGTAGGAGAGGGTGGAACAAGGTGGAAAAGAAAGAAGAGATTTTTTTTTTTTTTTTGAGACGGAGTTTTGCTTTTGTTGCGCAGGCTGGAGTGCAGTGACACGATCTTGGCTCACTGCAACCTCGACTTCCTGGTTTCAAGCGATTCTCTTGCCTCAGCCTCCCGAGTAGCTGGGATTACAGGCATGTGCCACCACGCCCCAAAATACATGTGGATGTGCTTTTTAGTAGAGATGGGGTTTCTCCATGTTGGTCAGGCTGGTCTTGAACTCCCAACCTCAGATGATCCGCCCGCCTTGGCCTCCCAAAGTGCTGGGATTACAGGTGTGAGCCACCACACCCAGCTGAAAGAAGAGATCTTTCAGGAAGAGAGAGATTGCGGAGGGAAGGAGGACCTGGAAGGGTGGTGTGGAGCCAGCAGGGGTGTGGACCTGTGGAACCAGAGAGAAGTGGGTGGACATCAAAGTGGTGATGAAGAGGACTGGGCAGGTCAGGCAGAGGCGGTCCTCTCTGGCACTGGGGCCATGCCCAAAGATGGGGAGAAGTGGCGGGCAGATGGCCTTGGCTATCATCAGGCACTGTGTCTGTGTTCTGAGTGAAGGGGAGGGTCTCCAGGGTCTGGTCACGTCGTGCAAGTGTGGCCAGAGGCTTTGGCAAGGGGCATATTTATGGATACACCTTTTTTCCTTTCTGAGGCTGGAAGGGAACTTAGAGGTCATGGAAGCCCACCCTCCACCTGACGGAAGGGGACACTGAGGCGCAGAGGGAAGGCACACATGTTGATGGGACTCCAGTCCTGGTCCTGCCGCTGCCCAGCGTGTGCCTGAGGTCAGCGTGCCTCTCGAGGCCCATATTGGCAGGGTGAGCAGACAAGCTTACTGCTCAGGACATCTCGAGCCTCCTGCTTTGTCAATATCTGGGCACGTGCATCCCCCACCTGTGT